CTACTACTACTACTACTACTACTACTACTACTACTACTACTACTACTTACTGCTACCTACTACCTACTACCTACTACCTACTACCTACCTACTACCTACTACCTACCTACTACCTACTACCTACTACCTACTACTACCTACTACTACCTACTACCTACTACCGACGACGACTACGACTACGATGGCTCCCTGAGCCGATAATTCAGGGGGAGTGGACCTCATGAGTGGTTATCTCAGACCTTGTTGACCTTGTTGACCTACCATGTGGGGGGGGGGGGTTATTAATCCGGTCTTGTCATTAGACCTGTATATTAGAGATATTTTCCACCAGTTTCACGCAGTTGTCTTCGCTGTTCTCAGCGTTTTCCGCATCTCTCGATCTATCTCGTCCATGATGAGTCATAACTCGTGTCCGAATTCCAAACTCAAAAAACCAGGCTGTTGGATGATGTCACACGGTTCTCAGCCGTCCCGGTGGAATTCTGATCGGGCACAATGAGGACCAGAAGCACCAAGACTAGAAGCATGTTTGCAGATCTCGCTCCTCCATGTGTGGGATCTTGGCCCAAAATCGCTTTGCTTTGAAGGAGTCGAAAGCGACTCAAATTGTTCTTCGCAGCAGAGGTCCTACGCACAGATGCCTCTGTTCTCACGAGCAGAGGACGACCCAACTGCCATTCTGCCGCACGCCCGGCTCGCTCGCGGAACCGCCCATCGGGGTGGATCGATCGGCGTTCCATCGATGTATGAGAGCGCAGTTGGACTTGGACTGGTTGGATGGGCTTGGATCCCATCTGGGTTTGGATGTTTTTGAAGACAAGTCATGACTTCATTATGTTTTCTTTTGGCAGAAGGTCCTCACAGCCCGCGGCAACTTCCAAGGCTTCATCTATGAGGCACTGTCAAGTGATAATTGCGTCTTGTGCACCAAATTGAGTCCATAATTCCGCAAATGGTTCGTGGTAAGTTCATGACCCACCAGCCATGGAACTGATGATCACGCTCACCGCAGTGGCCTTGTAAAAAAGGCCGCGCGGCTTAGAAGAAGAAGAAGAAGCCAGCAGTGCCAGCAGTCCAATCCTGGTGTTTTGTTAGATGATGTTAGATGTTAGTAAGTATTCTCCGAGACTGCTTGATATAAACGTCGAGGAACGTCGATGCTAATCGCCCCCGGTTTTTCCGGCGGAGAAGTTCGACGAGTCACGAGCGACGAGGGGTTCGGGCCAAACGCTTTAATCTTGGCCAAACGCGCTTGAGGAGACCAAGCCTGTTGGTCGCCCCAATCCGACTCCATGTCCTCGTGCTTCGCTGGGTCTGCTCGACCCACACCACGCGAGAGTCGCGCGTGGTTCGCTTCGCGCTACACAGTCCGCTACACGTTCGCAGACGTTTCTGAGGGGCCAGCCCGAAAGGAGCCAAGTGAGGTCGGTCTTTGGTGTCGCCAAGCGCTGCGGAGGAGGAATTGCGCAGTGGTAAAACCAACATTTATAACATGATATTGGTATCAAAGATATCAAATATAAGGAGCATGGGTTTTGCAAATGTTATAGGTTTGGATGCGTTGGACGTTTGGACGTGGAGCTCCTTCATCTATGTTCCTTGGACCGAGCAGCCACATGAGGTGCTACGGTAGATGGACAAAGTCATTTCTTAAGAGGCAAGCTTTGCAAACGTCCTACATCAGGCAGCTCATCATGTTTGAGCGTTCAAAAAGAAGACCCCTCAGGCAGCTCCCCGTGCCAGTATTGCATCGGCTGCCCACTTTTCTTCGTTGCTTTGTTTTCTTCTAAACTCTTGGCCGCGCAAGCAGTTGCAAATTCAGAGTGTAGAGCTATCTTGCAAGGGTTTGATTATTTTGTCGATCTAAGGTGTCATGTTTGTGTGTCAATCGTTTGAACAATACCTAATGTATAACCAGCATAGCGAGAGAGAGAGAGGGGAGGGTAAGAGATATCGAAACAGGGTTTGTGACAGGATGTCACTGCCTGTGAACGCAGACGTGCAGGACTTGTGCGTAATCTGTTTGGCTGGCTCAATCGATTGACCGTGATGAGAGGAGTGTTGTGCACACCCGGAGTGGTTGAGGCCCTAGGCCCAGTCAACCTGCCCAAACGCAACGACACCGTGGGGAGCTCCACCCGTGGGGAGCTCCACCCGTGGGGAGCTGGCCATGATCTGGACAACACACGATGACTGTGATGAATCGAGGGGACAACAAGGGCTGCAAGACCGAGACCGGCCCGTGTGGTTTGAGTCCACCTAACCCTCTCGAACCATCTTCTCAGAAGGTAGTTGGAGCCAATAATGTCCATAGGACCTTACGAGTAGGAAGAGGTAGGAAGGTGTTGGTCCATTATTCCTTTGCAAGCGGGGCCCTGGCGGGCTTTGGATGTTTGGATTGAAGCATGTCAGTCGCTGGACGTCCCAAGCTTGGCCAGCGGCAGTTCCCTCGCTGTCGTTACCCTGGGTTTTTGATTGCACCAAGGGTTGGGACCAAGAGGTTCAACAAACTCATCATGTTTTTCCTCAAAATTCAGATCTTGATCCGTTGGATGCCTCTCGTCGCGCCTCTCGTCGGGCGACCGCGTCCCGTTCGGCGAAGCATCTTCGCCCGGATGTGCGGGCGATGAGATCTGCGTCGCATGTCCAGCGTCACGACTGCGGCACGAGAGACGACCAAAGGGGTGTGAAAAACATGTGACAACTTAGTAACTTAGGTCTTTGGAGGTCCAAAAAGATCATGTTCTGACTGCCTCCTGGCAACCGATGGTCTTTTTTTATCAAGGTAGGACTCGCATGTCATGTCAGTGATCTTCGAGCTCACATGATGCCTGGAGGATGGGCATGAACTTCACAAAGCAAACACGAAAGCGAGAACAAAACCAGAACAAAGAGTATCCAAGAGTCACAGGTTGGGGTGCCTAATTACTGAAGTGCTTGCTCAGTCGTGCGTACTGGACATGAGTCCAGTCCACCTAGGAGTGTCTTCGACAGCTCTTGGTTTTCCCGCAGACCGGGGCGATTGGCTCGCCGAGTTTAAAGGCAACCGGAGAAGTTCGGTAGGTTTCTGGATTCAGAGGACTGGCCAGGAGGTCCAGATTCAGCTTCAGATTGATGATGTGACCTGCATTGGGAAGCCTTTTTGATCAGACTCTGAAAATTATAATTCCGTTCTGCCGATGGTCTTCATACTGTGCACAGATCGATTATGTTCACCAAATTCGACAGCTCCTGGGATCCTCCGAATCGAATCGACCGAGTTCGTGTTGCCAACAGGGCGCCAGTCGGTGTGGCTTCTCTTCGTAGCTCGTTGCATGGAGGGTGCCACGTGTGACCGCGGACGGTGGCAGAAGCTCTGCCAAAGTCAGATCTCAAAAGATAGAGCCCCAGAACCATCAGACCATCAGGTCCGTAGATTACACTCATTGCACTTCTATTGTGGATATCCTGCCAGAGTTCTGGTCCCTAAGGGTCCAGTACCATCCGAATCCGGCGTCCTTTGGTTCTAGTTCGACCATTCTCAGAAAGTGCTTTCACCTCCAAACCCATCCTCAAGAGGTACCTAGACCCTATGGGGGTATTCTTCGTGTGTGTTTTTGGGTTTATCCAATTTTTTTGTGCCACTTCAGCCACCGATAGCATCGCGGACCATGGTTTTGCACCACTGTGCTTGGATGTTGCGGCAGCGTGTCGTCGGCGGATGCCAGGGTCCGCGGCCTCGTTTGGAGAAAAGCGTTGCCCGGCCCTGGCGAGCTTCCCGTTGCCCCTCCGAGGGGTTGAAGAGATGATGTTGTTTCAGACCGCCTGACTCCATGAACCGCCCATCTAGGACCAAAAGGACCTTGTGACCACTTTGGAGTCTCTAAGTGCATGTAGTTCACGTTGAACGTAGGGGAGTGAGTTGGTAGCGTTGATACTGTTTGTGATTCTTCTGAAAACAATCCGAATCGACTGGGAATGTGAGACGAAAGACGCAAGTGCTAAAAACAAAGATGCACAAACGATGAGTTCAGCCCTGTGGGGGTGATCAACATGGGAACATATATGGGAACTTTCAACCACTCCTAAGTACTGCCTGATGAAGTAGCTTCTGCAGGGCGCCAGGACCCTTATGAGCAAGGCTGAGTGGCGGAAGTTTCGGCTTCTTTGGATGCCCTTCGCCGAGCACCAAGTTTGCCGAAAGAAGCCATGCGGCAAGGGGTGCCCCCATTTGACCAAGAAGCCTAGACCACAGATCAAAAGAAGGGCTCCAGCGACGACCAACACTGAGGACGTCCCAGTTCAGGCCCGCCAATTCAGTTTTAAGCCGAATTAAGTGCCCATGTTTGAACCGATCGAACTTCCACGTGTGGCCCGAGAGGCGCTGAGGAGACAACTGAGTGGTGGAAGTTATGTATGGTTTAGTCAGGAGTGAGTATTAGCCAATATGGCCGATGCACTTGCATGTGTAATTGCCAAATCTCTAACCAGTGTAGGAGAAGTCACTGGTCCCCGAAATCACGCTCCAAATACACGACCTCAGGCTTTGTCATTATAATGATCTGGGCTCCTTCTCATACTATTGTCAGAAGCAGTCGGCAGAAGCAAAAACAACGGACACGAGAAGGGCAATCTCGACCTGGAGGACCTGATGTTGGGGTGTACCTGGGGAACTGGACTGGTTTGGGGTCCAGCAAGCTCATGTTCAGTGCCCTTTGCGTGCTAACAGTTCGACTGGCATTGGACCCTTTCAAGCACCCATGAGCGATGCGTGGGCAAAGCGCAGCCGGGGAGTCAGAGGTCTCAGGGAGGGAGGGACATGCTGATTTAAAGAGGACCGAAGCCTTGTGGACTCGTGGTCGGATGATGACAGACATAGAACCCCTGATCCTCCTACAGATCATGAAAGGTTTTGTAAATATCCACATGTCAGAATGTCAGAGAACATAATACTATTCTGAAAGGCTTATACTCATACAGAGTAGAATATCAACTCCTTTTACACCATGAAACCCTGTTCTAACGCGTGCCATGTTGCCGGCACGGCGTTGATGTGGTCGTGCGCGCTTGGGCACGAGGTTGGACCAGCACTAGCGCCCAAGCAGAAAATGTCAGGGATCACGCTTCCTGCTTATGATCACCTTCAACTTCTCGAACTGGAGATTTGCGGTCTCAACAAGAACGGGTGAAAGGTCCAGCTTCGATGTGTTCAGGGATTTGCCGAGGAGGTCAGACTGAAACTGCAGTGACCTGCCAGCTTCCCGTGAGAGGAAACACATCGGATCATGCACCAAAGGTCCTTGAAACCGCCTCGTTGCAAGCGATGCGATGCGCAGCCTGCGCCTGCAGGAGCTGCGTTACGTGCGCGTGATGCGCAGCGACAAATGCCGCTGCAGTTGGCCTTGGCACAAGGTCACTGGCACATTGTGCCTGGGCGAAAGCTGTGTTTAGATGGGCACCCAGGTGCTGGCTGGTGGAGTGAATGAGGAAATGACTTCTAGGTCAGGTTCATGTAGACTGATTTGATCATATCCTGCAAGTTCACCATTAATTGAACATGATGGTAGCTGGAAACAATGACAACCCCATTTGATGAACATCGGTGTCTAAATTTGCCACGTGCTTCATCCAAATGTGTCGTTCCCAGTCTGGACCTATTTTGTTTCCGGGCTCAGTACACACTCGTTTCGGCGCCATCGACTGTCCATGCCGGTTCTGGGTCCTTGGATTTCTATTGTTTGAGTCATCCGAACTCGGTTTGGCCATGCAAAGGGTCAGAATTGTCCCATCCACGTAAACCATGGGGCACTGTTTGATTAATATAGCGTGAAATCCGGGCCCTTTTATCTCAGGGAGGGACACTCTTAGGGGGGATCGGTGATGCTGGAATACGTGGCCATGGCCAGAAATATACCCGCCCAATCACAGGCCACGGTTATTCGGGGTTTTCGGGGTCTATGGATGTCCTTGGCGAACTCCCCATGTGACCGTCCGGCAAGGTCTCCATTTTCCACGCCGCCAACGGCTATGCCTTAGAGGCCGCTTGTGGCTTCGGGAATGCTTCTCGGCCTGGGACAAGGGCGCCCGTTGGAACTGGCTCGGTTTGGGTTCTTGAGCATCAGTTGAAGATTGATAAATAAAGTGGGATCGGATTGGCGATGCATAAGGATTGAAACAGTTGACATCCGTTGAACATCCTCCCAGATTGTACGACATGTTTGCATGTGTATATACGTATGACTGTATGACTGTCTGTGGGATCTGGTTGGGAGCGACCTGGTAACTTTTATTACGTCGCGCCTGCCTGCTAGTAACATCCTCATTGGAGCAAGGCATTTCTAAAAAAGGACAGCTTTCCACCATGATCAGATGTAGCACCAGTTACATGTACATGACATAGCTTGTATAGATGTATGTTTCACTGCAGCCGTTTGTTCAAGTTGTGGTTTACTTTTGTGTTCATTTCACTACCAGAGCTACGCTTGGAGTGGAGCTAAAAGTGTGCCTAAGCTTCTACTACAACCTTTGGGACAGTGACCTGGGGTCACAGAGTTTAAGAGCCTAAATTCTCCGTTCATGGTAGCGGAGCCGCGGTTCTAAGACCCGGCTACCGTCTGCGAATCGAAGGTCGCCGAGCCGCATCGGCTCTGGCACCAGAGATCCACAAAACAAGCATCACTTGCAGGAAAGCCGGATTGCTTCAATCCCTGGCTAGCAAGTCAACATGGCGCAACAGCCAGGAGCACAGGCACCACAAGCCACAGACATGGCACAACAATTTGCACAGATGATGCAAGCCCTAGCGCAGGGGCAGAGCCAATTGCAACGAGCAATGGCAGAAGCATATACACAACAAACGGCAATCACAAGGAACATAGCCACTAGCGTGGAAGTAAGAGACAGATCCGAGTTGAAAGGCATTCCAAAGCCTGACAAGTTCAGTGGACACACAGGTACCTGGGATTCATGGTACTTCAAGTTCAAGACTTGGATTGAGACAAGTCACAAGAATGCAGGAAAGTGCATTCAGCTCCTCGAAGAGCATCAAGACACAGAGATCAATGAGACATCTCTGGAAGATGATTATCCTGAAGGAGCCGAGCTTGTTTCAGCTCAGGCCCGACAGGCTCTGATCTCACTATGTGAGGGAGAAGCCCTCGAGATTGTCAAGAATACCTCCAGAGGTCAGCACTTTGGCCTAGAGGCATTGAGACGGTTGATCACCAAGTATGATCCACAGAACCCACAAGCAAACTCAGCTTTGCTGAAGAAGGTCCTGCACCCACAACAGTGTGCATTGGACAAGCTCAGAGAGAGCATAGAAGCCTGGGAAAACATCAGGCGAAAGTATGAAGAGCGGAAGAAGAAAGCTCTTGATGATGACATCGCAAGAAGTTGTCTTCAGCAGATGTGTCCAGCCAAACTTCAAGATCACCTTGATCTCCAGAGTTCGAGACTCACTGACTATGCCATCATGAAGTCAGAGATTTTGGCCTACCTCGAGAACATCGAGAGCCGAAAAGAAGCAAAGACTGGATCAGCACCAATGGATGTTGATGCACTAGCCGCAGCTGCCAGCCAGATGCAAGCTTCACTTGCAAGTCTGGCCAAAGCCAAAGGAAAAGGCAAAGGTGGCTCAAAAGGCGGCAAAGGAAAAGGAAAGAGTCAAGATGGAGGCAAGGGAAACGACAAAGGTAAACAGAAGGGAAAAGGTTCTTCATGGTCCAATCCCTCGTCATGGAACAACTCATGGAACAAGAACGATTGGTATAAGAATGATTGGAGCAAGAGTAGTTGGTACAACCAAAACTCCAAGGGTAAAGGCAAAGGTGGCAAAGGCAAAGACTCTAAAGGTAAAGGCAAGAGTAAAAGTAAGAAGGTAGCTTCAGTTGAGGAATCTGAAACCTCTATGGCTCAAGAGCATCAACCCGAGCCTGAGTATTCCGCTGACATCGCCACCCTCTTTGCCATCGAGATGGAGAAAGCAGCACCTGCCGCAATTTCTCGTGGAGCAGCCAAGGCAAAAGCTGGGACTGAAGTCAAGGCTATGCCAAAGAAGCCAGGAGCTGGAAAAGGTCGTCCTGGAATTGCAGCTGCTGGGATTGCAGTCATGAACCAAGCAATCCAAGAGACCATGCAGTCCAATCGCGAGCTGTATGAGAAGAAGTCTGAGACAATCCAGAAGGCCATCGAAGAGGCCGAAGCCAAGGGCAAAGCAGCCAATGACGCCATCTTGGAACAACAGGCCGAGATGAAGAGGCTGAAAGAACAGTATGAAGAAAAGGAGAGAGAAGCCAAGATCTTGCTGAAGAGGCCAACTCCTCGCCGAGCCGCTTCGGTTCCGGCGGAGTCGCCAAGGCTCTCAGCTGATTTGGCATCAGGCATGGACCCAAGATTGGCCAAGAAGAAAGAGAAGAGCCGTCAGCGCGCCGAGCAACATCGCGTTGAGAAGGCCCAGGATCGTTTCGAATCCTGGCGCGACTATGAGGCCAATTACCCTGAGGAGCTCGACTACTATGAGATCGCTCGTGCCAAGGGTACTGGTCGACTTCAAGCTTGGGATGATGAAGATGATGAGGGAAAGTTTGATGAAGCCCCTCAGCCTCGAGGTCGGGAAAAGGCCCAGAGGCATCGTGGCTACAAGAAGCCAGGAAAGGCAAAGAAGCCTGAGAAGCCAAAAGAGAAGGAGCCCAAGATCGAGGATCTTTCCACTCAAGAGTTGGCAGAGATGAAGCGGGAAAGCCAGACATGGACGGCTACCAGCCATCCAGCCCGCAGTGTCATCGACAAAGCGCTTACTGCAGCTGGGTTCAACCCAGAGGACTACGTTGTGATGAAGCGCGTCGAAAGCCAAGGCGAAGGAGCAACAAGCGCACCATCCTTCGCAGCTCCAGTTATGGAGAACATCAATCCCCTTGATGTGACTGAGATCGAAGGACTCGAAGAAGAAGAAGAGTTTGAAGGTGAAGTTGAAGAGGATGAGAATGGCACTGAGCCAGCTGACGAGGAGTCAGATGGACAAGAAGAAGAAAAAGAGAAAGATACTGTGCCATGGCTCGATCACATGTTCCAAGAGCGCATCCTCAGCTATGATGAATGGGTAGCCAAATGCACCCACAAGAACAGAGATGGCAGCAAGAACATGGTCTGCCGTGCGTGCAACAAGGCCCTGAGGTGTGACAATGACACCGGCCTATGGAACCACCATATGGCTTTGAATTGTTGCCCGCCAAAAGTCCTCAACCAGTGGGCAAAGGAATGGACGATCAAGCAGAAAGAGATGGGAAAGCGCATCAAGACTGCCAAGGGACAGCAAGGCAGCCCAACTTCAAAAGATGCGCCAAAGCATGTGAAAGATGCCGACATGGATCTGAAGTCCGAAGATGTGGCAAAGCATTTGAAGATGAAAGATCCAAAGCTTGAGACCGTCAAGAACGAACCTCCTTTTTACATGACAGCCCATATGCAGCAGATGATGGAAGAACAGGAGGAGGAAGATGAGGTTGGCCCAAAGACACCAAAGCAAAGGCGCATTGCCAAGACACCTCCACCTCCTGAGAAGAAGGGCAAGACCAAGGAGGAGCGCATGGCCTGGTTCAAGAGCTCGACCGAAGAGCACCTAGAGCGATTCCGTGGACCAGGATCCAAGCCAGAGGAATCCAGCGAAGCGCCAAGGCAGACGCTTCGGCTGAAGTCCCGGTCACGATCCCCGGGCAAAAGCCGAGCCGCTTCGGCTCCGGCTGCCTCCGAGAAGGGCCAAGGAAAGGGCAAGCAGAAGAAAGTGCAGTTGACTCGAGCTGTCAACGTGGCCACTCAAGATGCTGCCCGTGAGGCCAAGAAGGGAAAGGGAAAACGATATCCCACTCCCTCAAGCGAGCCTGACGAAGGCGATGAAGATCCACTCGCTCTCAGGAGTTTGGAGCTGGCATCCATGGAGACGCCAATGGCTCATCAGGTGACCTTGGATTCAGGAGCCGCGACCTCCTGCATCCCTGTTGAACTGGCCACCGCATTGGGCTACAAGCCTATCCAGCCTGAAGGCACCTGCAAAGTCTACAAAACTGCCTCAGGCGAAGTGGTCAAGGACCTTGGCAAGATCGATGCCATGGTGACCATCGGCATCGGCCAGAACTCCCTCAATGGACGTTGCTGTTTCCGGGTGATGGCGGTTGCAAAACCGCTGCTCTCCGCGGGGGCCCTTATGAGCAAGGGCTGGTGCATTCAGATGCACGGATCTGGTGGACAGATCTCCCGAGACGGGACTAAGATTCCGATCACGTTCAGCAACGGCGTCTGTTCTGTGCCGCTTGCATTTCACCCTTTCGTCCGGCACCGCAATGGGTAAGTCCGGTAGAGGACGAGCAGGCCGAAGAGGCCGAGCCAGGCGACGAAGTCCCGCCTGAGCTCAAAATCCATGCTCCCACTCGCCCGACGCGAAAAGAGTTTGAAGAGCATGCTGTTTCACACTTCCCTTTTAGGTCTTGGTGTGAAGCCTGTGTAAGGGGAAAAGCTAAGGCAAACCCCCACAGGAAGATAGACCACACCGATGAGACAACCCCAGTAGTGACTGTAGACTACTGTTTCATGAATTCACGAACTGATGATGTAGTTTTGGACGAGAAGACTCATGCACCAATTCTTGTTGTCAGAGATCGATGGACGAAGCATCTTTTTGCTCATGTGTTGCCCTACAAAGGTGTGACAAAAGGTCCATATGGATCCAAAGTACTTTTGAACGACATCAAGAAACTAGGATACTCCAAACTGATCATTCGACATGATCCTGAACCTGCCCTCACCTCTGTTGTTGAGGCAGTAAAGAATGGGTTTGAAGGAACCCTGATCATCGAGAAGAGCCCGAAAGGAGTCAAAGAATCCAAGGGAGAGATTGAACGAGCAGTTCAAACCTTGGAAGGACAAGCCAGGACTCTTCGAGCCGCAATCGAGTCGAACTATGGTGAGAAACTTCCTGACGATTCACCTGTTTTGACTTGGTTAGTTGAACACGCATCCACAGTCTACAATCTGTTTTTCCGATCTACCGAACTTCAAGACGGAAAGACTCCGTATTCACGACTTCGTGGACGTGAATGGAAAGTAGCAATTCCACCATTTGGTGAGGCCATCGAATACCTCAAGAGAGGTCACAAGTTCGAGGCCCAATGGACAAAAGGAATTTTTCTAGGAGTGAAAGACACCACCACAGAGAAGATAGTAGGAAATTCCACAGGCGTTTTCACAGTGCAATCCATCCGAAGAAAGCCAGAAGAAGATCGATATGATTCAGAGTTGCTGAAATCGATCACTGGGATTCCCTGGGATCCTCAAGCAATTCGCGAAGAACCAGCGATTGCAGCCCCAAGGGAACCAATCATTGCCAGCCCAAGTGGTGAAGCTTTAGTCCAACCACCGGCAATTGATGACAAGAAAAGAAAGCTGAGAAGGCTTTACATCACCAAGAAAGACCTGGAAAAGTTTGGGTATACTGCAGGTTGCCCAGCTTGTGATGCCACACAGATTGGCAAAAGATCTACAGGCATCCATCACACCAACAGGTGTCGAGACAGACTTGAAGAGAGCATCAGAGGAGAAGAAGAAGAGAACCCAAGAGTAGCAAGACATGAAAGCCGAGTTGGAGAGGCAATCACTGGCATGCCACAACCAGTCAGTGGTAAGAGACCTCAAATCCTTCATGGATATGAAAGCAAAAGACCATCGGGAGTTCCCGATTCATGTCGAGTATTCGCACGACTTGACGTCGAAGCTTACTGTTTTCAAACCACCATGCCAGGAGGACCTGATTGGTCTACCGTCTGGCACCGAGTCACAAGAAACCATGCAAACAATGCAATCATCGAGAGTGGAGTCATGACGACAGACCTTCCACCAGAGATACTCAATGGAGCATTACCACACAAGATGGACATTGTGACAGAACTGTGGTACGAACCAGAAGCAGCACCACCAACACCAGGCACAGCATCAGCTTCAGCATCAGGTATTCGCAGACCACGCGAACCTGAACCACATGGAGAAAAGAGAGAACACAAAGAACAACATGAACCAGCAGGATCACCCACAGCAAAAGCCAGAGTAGATAGAGACAAGAAGAGAAAAGCAGAAGGCGAACATGAAGATGAAGCCGAGAGAACAAGAGACATCCAGAGCATCGAGATGGCTCTAGAAAGCCTAATCCTAGAAGACAGAGAGAGAGTGCTATCTAGCATCGACCCAGAGAAACCAGTGTGTGAAGAGAAGATCCCACTGCCAGAAGAAATGGCAGAAGAGGCAAAAGACTGGTGGTACTATGATGACATCAGTGGAAAAGAGCTGCTACCTGAGAAGGTAGAGAAAGCCAGAAAAGATGAAATCGACATTGTCGAATCAATGGGAGTCTGGGAGAAGATCCCAAGAAGCAAAGTTCCAAAAGGAACCAAAATCATTGGAACTCGATGGGTAGATGTGAACAAGCAAGATGAAACCAATCCTCTCTTCAGAAGTCGATTGGTAGCGCAAGAGATCAAAAGAGGCTCAGGTTTTGACGAATTTTTCGCAGCCATGCCGAGCCTTGCAGCTTTGAAGCTACTGCTAACCATTGCAGTCAGCGACAGCCTTCCATTGGAGAAAGGCGAAAGAAGAAAAGCAAAGCAATCTTTCCTAGGATTTTTGGATGTGAAGAGAGCTCATTTCTATTCCAAAGCAACAAGAGAACTCTATGTTGAAATCCCATCAGAAGGCAAGAGACCTGAAGATGGAGATGTGGTAGGAAAATTGGTCAGAAGCCTATACGGCACCAGAGACGCACCCATGAATTGGGAGCTGACCATTGCAGAGTTTATGAAGAAGCTAGGATTTGTTCAAGGCAAGTCCAATCCATGCATCTACTACCACGCATCCAGAGAACTTCGAACAGAAGTGCATGGAGACGATTTCACGACAGTTGGAAGTTTTGATGACATAAAATGGTTTCACACTTCAGCAGCCAAAGAATGGCAAGTTGTGGAACGAGGCATTCTCGGTCCACCAGGTTCACCAAAGGCAAGCCAACAGATCAGAGTGCTGAATCGCATCATCACCTGGTCAAATGAAGGCATTTGGTGGGAACCAGCTCTAGATCCAAGACATGCAGAGTTGATCATCAAGTGGTTAGGCACTGGTCAACCAGGCAAGGTCAAGACCCCTTTGGCCAAGCCAAGTCAAGAGGAACTCCAACACGAAGAAGTTCCGCTGAGTGCCGAAGATGCAACGATGTATAGATCTATTGCTATGAGAGCCGCGTATTTGGCACAGGATCGACCTGATCTGCAAACTGCAACGCGCTCATTGGCACAAGGTCTACAGAACTCAACATCGAGGCACTGGAATATGCTGAAACGATTGGCTCGATATGTCAGGTATCGACCAAGAGTTGCACAGTTGTTTCCAAACCAAAGCACCTGCAACCCCTTCAACATGTGGTCAGACGCCGACCATGCAGGTTGCATAAGGACACGAAAGAGTGTGTCAGGAGGCGTGCTCATGGCCAACAAATGCTGTCTCACAACATACAGCAAAGGCCAAGGAGTTGTCTCCCTGAGCAGTGGCGAATCCGAGTACTACGGACTTGTTTCTGGAGCATGTCAAATGCTTGGAATCGCATCAACAGCAAGAGACTGGGGATTGTTTCCCAGCAAAGAGGTGACAATGGACGCTTCCGCTGGCATCGCCATGGGAAACCGTCGAGGCTTGGGACGAGCTAAACATGTTGACACTCAATACCATTGGGTACAAGAGCGTACAGCAAAGAAAGAGTTTCGTCTCAAGAAAGAAGGCACCGACCGAATGTTGGCCGACGTGCTAACGAAAGCTGTCACCGAAGAGAAAATGACTACAGCTATGAAAGGCATGAACTTCCACTACCTGGAAGGTGAGCATGAACTGACTTTGAAAGCGTGAACGGCTTGAGCTAAAGTAGGTACTTCTTCAAGACCAAGATGTACTGAAGGGCTATGGGCTAATTCACTAAAAGTGCTAACCCTGACTCGGTTAACATCTCCCAGAAGTTAAACTCGGGAGGCGTGATCAGATGTAGCACCAGTTACATGTACATGACATAGCTTGTATAGATGTATGTTTCACTGCAGCCGTTTGTTCAAGTTGTGGTTTACTTTTGTGTTCATTTCACTACCAGAGCTACGCTTGGAGTGGAGCTAAAAGTGTGCCTAAGCTTCTACTACAACCTTTGGGACAGTGACCTGGGGTCACAGAGTTTAAGAGCCTAAATTCTCCGTTCACACCATGCCCATACTCAGAACAAACTAGCTACAGCTACACCCTACACCTTGATCCGCTCCGCTGATGGTCTGCTCGCATGCTGGAGCTTCGCAGCCCCCCAGCCGGGCGTGTTCGGGTCACGAGGTCACTTTGGTGAGGAGCATGGTCTTGGAGCAAGGCTATGATCCGCATTTGAAGGACGTGCCTCGGAGAAGCGCGGACGTCCGGGAGCACCGGAAAAAAAAACGTGAGGACCTGGACCAGAGGGTGCGGGCAGGGGTGAAGGAGGGGACATATACAGGGACCTCTCGTCCCAAATGCTATCAAATGCATGGTTTTGCACGCAGTTGTTTTGTGTTGTTTTGGGGGATGCCCTGCGTTTTATGTTGGCATCACGCTAACGCACAAACTATAGTGACAATGTATTCATTGCGTATGAACTGAGGTTGGGTCCCTTCCTTCTGGGTAAGCTCGTGGAAGGGAGTTCAATGTGTTGCCAGACTCAGTCTCCTCCTGACCAAGCCAATGTGGATTGATTTCATTCTAGGGTTGCTCAAGAAAAGAGAGAGAGAGAGAGACCTCTAAGAAGGTAGCCCAAAAGGGTGGAGGCCCCACACGAATCAAGGTTGCAGCACAAAACATGTGACTCGCCCTAATTGAAGTCGGCTTTGGTTTCAAAGCAACCAGCAATCCGGGCAAGCTCGGACGCAGCGTCAAGTGTTCCTCCAAAGCCATGTCTTAACGGTACCTCAAACGATGATACGATAGCCTGGACATGAACAAGTCCCTCCAGCCGGGGAAATCGTCCCCGGTCGATGGGATTCTTTGGCGTAAGCGAGTCAAGTATCACTGGCTGCTTGCTGTAGGAGCATGTTTTGCGTAGGATGCCAACACGAGGATCATGGAAAATGATAGGGACCAGCCTAGTATGAAAAACACATACACCCTAGGGCCTACATAAGACATGCACCCTAATGCATGTGTTTGTTTTTTCGCTGGTGGCGACCCTCGGGTCGGCACCGGTCCGCCCCCTCGGACGAGTAGAACTCTCAAGCGTCACGCGTCACGCGTCACGCCAAGGAGAAGAACGGCCGGAGTCCCATCTTCGAAGCACTGGAGAAGGGCCAGATCGCGGTGGCCGAGCCACTTGGAGCGGTGGAGGGGCCAGATGTATGTGTGTGTGGAGGTGGGTCCATACTCGTGGCGGAAGGTGAAGATGGTCATGGTTTGGACAAGATGTTGAGCAGCAAGGAGGTGAATGAAAACAGATCGTGAACCCATGTGAAACCCCCAAAGGGACTTGATTGCCATTGGACGTTTGCAAGTGGCTGCAGGTCATGTGTTTATTCAAAGACCTTTGCAGGCCGGACCCCATTATCCTAGTGGCTTATACTACAATATATAGCAAGCTTGACGGAATCCTTGATAAACACGGTTGGTTTGGCGGTTTGTTTGAAGGGACCAGGGTCACCAACTGCTTGGTATTGATGGTGTCCATGTGATGGCGAGGAAGCTGCGAAGTCCGATGGGGAACCATTACACAAGTCCCGCAGACCATCCATGGGACTGGAATATTGACCTATGCAAACCCAGGTCAAACCAACCTCAAACCTCAAACCAAGCTAGGTCACCAACCCAGGTCACCATCCATGTAAAGCAACCTCAAACCAACCCAGGTCAAATCTTCCAGTCCCATGGATCGTTAGAGAGCTTCCAGTGTTGGAGCTGCTCCAGACGAAGCGGCGTGTGGCCGTGTCCAGCGCCCAGCCAACGCAAGAATCGAGGAAGGTCCCAAGTTCCACTGTGAACCGTCCAACTTGCGCACTTGTGGGGTGTGGAAACAAGAGTATCTAGTTGATGTACTCAAAATTCGATGTGATGCAAGAAAACACATATGAGTCATATGAGTATATGTGATTTGTTTGAACTTATGTAATGGATGTGACAAACTTTGGTGTGTGTTTTTTACGGCTTTAAGACAATCCAAAGTCTATGCCCTTCATCGATCCTTTGATTTTTGCCTTCACGTCTTCGGCCAAGCCGCCGAGCCGCTCGAGGTTTCTGGCCTCGTCTTTGGGCGATGTTGGTGGGAGGGCGGGGGGTAAAGGCAGGTGGCTCAGCGTGACACACGGGAGGTTTCAGATAATTGTAACTGTATAGATACCTAGAACTTGAGTGACCTCTGTTCCGGATCGTCAACCACCCAAAATAGGGTCCTTTTCCCATCAATAGACCCACTCAGGAAGCCGCGGAGAAAACCTGCAGGTCACCCTTTATGAGGGATTGGTGAAGCGGACCAACATCCAGCCAGCAGGTGAGAAGGTCTGTCAACCAATATTTATCCAGGAAAACTGAGGGGATCAGTACATCAAAAACCACTTGCATATATTTGCATATTAGATGGCCAAAGGCTAATCTCCTGGAGAGGACGATGGAGAGAGAGAGAGAGATTAGATGTTCATATTATATGTGCTAACATACATGTGCTAATGCGGCTAGCCTCAGCTCTGCAGGTTGGGAAATTCAATCTTAAGTAAGTTTGGAACAAGTTTCAGCCCGCGGTGGGACATGTTGTTCTGGGAAATGGTGGGGGGCTTTGCATGGATGCTTGGGGCTTGGGACAGTGTATTTAAGGTACTGTTGGAAGAAATTCCACTGAGTTCACACAGCGATTAGCTGCTTTTCTCAATTCTTCTTGAGAGTTTGATGCCCAGACGGGGGACTCTATGGGAACCAGAAGTGGTAGTCCCCCAGTGTATTCCCAGACGATCTCATGAGATCTCTACTTTTGTGCATTCAAGAAGGCCTCAATTGGGCTGAAAAGGCTGGCGCATGTGAGCGCGAAGGCGCGCGGACCTTTCTAAAATCAACAGATCGTCTTCAAACTCCTAGTAAAACCGATCCATTTTATGGTGAATCCATGAATTTCTACGTGTCAACAGACCCTTATATAATACCCCCCACCAGGTCCCCCCGCCTTTCTGTTGGAACACCCCCGACGTCCCTCAGGCAGAACGTCTCGCTGATCGCCTTGGACGCCCTGGGCGTCAGCGTCTTGGGCGCCGCCGTGCAGGCGCAGCGCTGGAACTCGGTGGAGCTCCTCGGACGACGTAGACCGGAGTCGTTGGAGTCATCCAAAGGAACATATTCATTATAGGAATGGTGGAGTTCAAGGGTTAGAAGATGTTACAGAAGATGTTAATTGTGGATGTCAACTGTTAAGGAGTGATAGGAGTGATATAGCTCAATCAGAGAAGCTGAAGCTCCTGACGGACTCGCGTTTGAGGGAAATGAGACACATTGCCCATGGCGCAGTTGGTGGGACGTGCACTAGGATGGAGTAGGAGAGGAACGGCCTTCTGAGTTTTGATGCATGAAATGAAGTTATTTAGTCCATTACCAGGACCATTCGATGAGTGTCTAATGGACTACCCCACACTACCTATAGGCTTCCATTGGGCACCCCTTGGATGGTCCAGGTATGTGTTTTCGCCGTAGGGATGCCTTGCAGATGTTTGCAGATTGACTAAGTCAATCCGCAACGACTGGCCTCCAACTCTGCAAAATGTCATGTTCCATGTCATCGTCGTGCTTTCTATGTGACTGGCCAACCAACTAACTTGGAACCTTCAAGAGTTGTTGTAAGATTGTCTTTGAAGAAATGCATGGTTGATTATGCTATGTGTTTCACATTGTTGCAACATGAGACAGCTAGCTAATCCTTGTCAAGACTCCTGGCTCAAATCCCACAATGTGACGACCTACATTGCAGGTACTCAATAACATTGTGGTTGAATAGTGTACGGGAATGTATTTCAGATTTGAACCTTGAGTTCAAACTGTTTGATGAAGAGATGCCATCATGGGGAGAACAGGCAACTTCTTGACGTTTTCAACGATGCACCATATCCTGGCAGTGCGCTGTGCGCGGGCTTCCCATTCTTCTGAGATCGACGAAGAGGTTGAGGTCCCTTCAAGTCATGAGATGCATATGCCCATGCATCTCAACCCCCCCACAGGTTTGGTATGGAAAGTATATAAATCTGCCAGTTCAGCTAACAATAGCAACCTTTGATTCAGTTCAGTTCTGTACTCATCGAGCCGCCGTCTTCTTGTGACCCCTGCAGGGTGGTTGTTTGTGATGCAGGCTTTCGGCCTTTCCTGGCGCCATGTCACGGCCCGAATCCCGTGAGGTAGAAAAAAGACAGGGGCCTCATGTGGCACCCTTTGTGTTTCGCCATGTTTCGCCGGTCTTTTTCCACTGGACCGTCTTCAACGCATTCGACAAAAGTTCACCTTCCGTCAGCCACGAGACACAGATGGCGCTTTGCTGCGCGCGCGTGCGTGGCGCGCCCAGGTTTTTGGTCCAGAGGATTCCAGTGATGCAGAGGTTGGGGTCAGTTGGACCGAGGAGAAAGTATAAATAGGTAAGAGACGTGTGACCGAGGAGAATGCTGAGAAATCCTTATTGGATGAAACCTGTTGAGATGTTCCATTGAGCATGCAGGTCCGAGTTTAAAGTTCGTAGTGTTAGTAAGTGCATTTGAGAAGGGTACGACTCGTCATGTCATGTCCTGGAGGGTTTGCGTCGGTTAGTGTTCCGTGATCCATGATCAGACTGAAACCATGGAGGCAATGGAAGGAAGACATGCTACCAGCAATCATGGAAGTGGACCACCCCCTTTTTGAAGAGGAATAATGTTGTTTTTTTTTTCCAGAATGAATGTTGCAATGTTTGGGCCAACATTGTATGTTGTATTATGTTGTATTACTTGCTTTTTAGGGGTGGTTGGGTGCTGCAAACAGAGCTGGGAGTTGGTTTCCTTCCTAAAATAACGCCCCTCTTTCGGCACACGGTTTGAGACATGCGCAATCACTTTGCTTGATCCCAAACCACTTGCTTTGCCTGTGGCAAGTCCTGTAGCAAGTGAAGAAGACCCGCCCATGACATCAGGGCCAAACATGTCCAATGCCAAGCCTTTGAAATTCACCAAGCTCGCCTTTGTGGCTTCAGGCGGTTCATGCCAATGGCAAGTTCTGAAGCGCCCCCTTCTCACCAAGTGTCAAAACCAGAAGCCTTGAAGAGCTGGGAAAAGACACCACCTGGCGGTCCTAACCGTCCCGTCCCAGTCCCACCGTGAGAAAGCCAGGTTTTATCATCCCACCATGTTCCAGCTGACTCGTTTCATCTCGTTTCAATTCCTTCAAGACGACAGGATGGCCAACGACTCCACAGCCCTTCATTTCGCGGCACAAGGGAGCAGCCAGGAGCAGCTCACGGCGAGTTCACTGGGTTTTTGGTGCTGGGGTGACCTGAACTCCAACCTGGGCGCCCCTAAAAGCATACTTTAGGGACAGCTCACTGAGTTTGATGTTGGGGACAAATGGATAAAGCAACCTGAATTGCTGAATTCATAACATATGTCATTTTGTCATTACTTTTCATGCAAGTCATATCGACTGTATTTAAATAAGTATCCTTCCAATTGGAACAATTGCTTGATCTCCAGAAGGCTTACTTCCGGAAAGGCCGACAAAACATGATTTTGCCTCAGGAGATCATTGGCACCTTGGTCAGGCACAAGCGGCTTGGAGTGGCTGGGAGCGTGGGGAGCTGGGTATAACTTCAAACAGCATGTGGGACTGGGGGGTAACGCAGCTTGGTCCGGAAATGCCCCAAGGCATGATGCTGACGACTCACAGACTAGATGTGTTTGATCACAATCAGATCGGAAGATTCCCAAAGAGTTGCTGCTTCACACTGGACATGTTGGTCATCAAAGAGTGCTCGACTTGGGGAACATCAGATTGGCTATCCAGTAATTATAGAGATCAGTAGAGTCACCAAAGAGGTCACACTTGTGATGTGCCTCACCACATCTCATCCGGCTTCTTTCGCTCGCTGAAGACGGCCGAAACACCGGTCGACAGGTCCGGCGTCTTGGTGGATGCCGTGGACTATCAGAACCGCACAGCCTTGTTCTACTCCCATGGTGCTGAAGCTGTGGAGGCCGGAAGGTGGAGGGAGAGCCGAGGGCGCCAGGCGAGGAGCTGGTGTCAATGACCGGAGGCAAGAGATGGCACAGTTGTTCGTTTTTTTGGGGCCGGTTCCCGGGTTGTTGGTGCAGAGATTGGGTTCACTTTGTTTGGGGGTTGACTGTCATAGATGCGTTCATCTTCAATGCGTTCACCGTGGTTACGGAGCATTGCATACAAAGCCCGCAGGGACTCCAATTAAGCCCATATGAGTATGAACCAGCATGAGGCTGCATATAAAGCACCTTCCAAAGGGCAACCCATCTTCCTGGATCGTGGCAGCATTGAGCCAAGAAGTTTTGCCAAGCGTGGGGTCATGAACTGTCGTTCCATTCTCAGGTCGTTTGCTTCGGTGATCATTTGGAGGTTGCAGAGGTTTGCTTTGGAAAAGGAGCACAGGAGATTCTCAGGAGATCATGGGAGCACAGGAGAGGAGCAGGGCCCATTCGGACCTGGAAGGACGGAATGACACCCGAGACATTGACCCAAGGCCCGAGAACCGTGGGAAAGCATGGGAAAGCATGCCACAATTTGCCCGCAAAGAGATGAACTTATAGCATTTGTCCCACTTTTGAAGGATTTATGATTTATATATATTAAATATATATATATATATTCCTGTTATAAAGACTCTGTCAAGTCGGTCAAGTCCACCGTGGGGTCTGCCACCGTGGGGTCTGGCTCCTACCTCCTTACACCGAGCGGGTGCCACCGGGTCGAACGACCACGGTTTGACCAACCCTTTTTGAAGATGAAGCGACCAACAAGGAGCGTCTACTATAGCCGGGCCTACTGCGTTCCACTAAAACTCTTTGCCGCAAAATGTGCTCGTTCTGCCTTTGCCTTTCTTTTTTTGCAGAAGTTAGACTGTCAACTGTCCTATATTATAGAATGCTGTTTGGAAAACAACTTGATCCAAGTTCCGGCTCCTCACATTTGACTCTGTCTTGATCATGTTTGGCCATGTCACTTAGCAGCGCGACTGCAGGCGCTGCTGGCCATGGGTGCGTCGAGTGCACACCGTGACCGTGGAGGGCGGACAGCACTCCACTTGGCGGCGGCAGAGGCGGGGGGTGGATGGTACCCAGACCAGACCAATGGGACTGGAAGAGTTACATACATTTGCCCCATTTCATGACCCCAATGTATGATATCTAACTGCTATTCCAGTCCCATGGATGGTAGGATGGTAGCATGATGTAGGATGGTTGGACTGGTCGGAGGCTCGTGCGACTGGTGGAGTGGGATGCTGCTTGGCGACATGGTGTACATCCCTGCGCACGCGCGTCCAACGGTTGGTCTCTCACAAACGCACACGTGATCACCATGCATACACAACCCGCGCAAACGATAACACACTCACCAAATCCGGATGTAGCCAAAGTTGACCGTAGCTATAGAGAGGCTCCTGTGATTTGTGATCAGATCCTCCGACCATTCAGCAGCTTGGTGGAAAGGTGATGTTCTGCATGGTCAGACGAAGCCCAAGAAGCACACCGGTCGGCCCCTATCGCTCGTGCGTGAAAAACAAAATGCGTGCGTATTGGTCGAGAGCAACTCTTTGCAACATTCCAATTGGCCTTCCGCTGTGCAAAAAAACCATGGAAAACGGAAGAAGCGGCGATGGTCGTATGGGCGAATTCCACAAAGCTGTAGCAAGAATGGATGAATGGAAATGGATGGAAATGGTGGACAAAGCCGTAGCTAGTGCTCCAATTCCACTACACATTTACGCGTCGTCGGCTTGAACATTGCGAGGACGACGGGTGTTTCTTTTTAGGATCGCTTCTTGGATTAGAATTCTGCGAAACAGGAAAGATACAAAAGTGGGAGTTGAAAGAAAGTGCTTGATGTATCTGGGTGTTGGATGTTGATTGAAAGAGTCGCCTCAACAGAACAACATTCATCTCAAAACTGTTTTTGTCAGGTATAATTGAGGTATCATGAGGTATAACCATGACCTTCCGTGTGTTCCCTACTCATGCGGTAGAGCCGCAGGGCCGAGAGGTACATGCAGGTACCCTTAACTCTATCCTCTTCGCAGCTGCGCCGCGCCACAGGGCCGAGACGCCGCGCTAGAGGCGCTCTTGGCATCTCGTAACAGCCAGGCCGCTTTCGGCCGCTGTCTGCCGCAACAGCAGTGTTGATGAAGGGAGACGACTCCGGGACGAGTCATGCCGGCCAGAGAGAGAGAGAGAGGGAGAGTGTGTGAGTGTTGATGAAATATGTGTTGAAACTCACATGGTCAAACTATGTCCTGGGTGAGCGTTTGGCAGGAACCAGCATGTTGAAGAACTTGAGTTGGACAGGCCAAACATGACGAGAGATGTGACATCCCCACTCCGCCCCAATGAAAAGCATCTCCGCCTCCGCCGTGTTTCGATCGCAGTAGGTGGATGGCTTGGACGCTGAGGGTCGCAGTGCCTTGCACCTGGCAGTGCTCGGCGGGCACGTCGGCACCACGCGGACGTTGTCTGGGGTTCTCAGATGCTTTGCGGGCCGGAAGAGGGTGTGAAAGAGGAACAGGGGCCAGTTAGGTCGCTTTTGGGTGGCGGTTATATACGTATAGGGCGTGAGTGGACGGGTTATGAGGGAGATCGGGTATGACTGGCAGGGATAGCTGTTGGAATGGATAGCTGTTGGGAAAGTCTTTGTGAATTCGGCTGCTGGAAGCCCTATGTTTCACTGAACGCACGCACACGCACACGCACACGCACACACACACACAGAGACCAAGATGAATATGAACATTAACATTTGCATGGAGGATGTCCTCTGCAGCAGCCATTCAAGTACATGTTCAAGTCGAGGTCACAGTGTGCCCTTTTCTAAACTCCCCCCTGCGTTGATCCTGTTTGTTTTGACTATAAAGACTTCTGACTCGTCGGTATATGCATGTGTACACCTTCGCTGCGACCGAACCTTTACAGCTTTGTCTTCCGTCCCGCGAACGACTCTGCAGAGGAGTTCACCACTTCTACTCATTGGAAAAAATGGGTCTTCTGTGATCTTCCGGGCCATTCACTCCCATGAAAGTTGGGGGAGTGAACTGAGTGAACCAGTGCCTCCCACCAATGAGGTGGCAGCATGCCATGGTTTCTCTATACTCCAACCGCCTCGCCTCAGTGGCACAGACCTCCAGACCTTCCAGATCCGCGGCTTCCACACGCGCACGGGTTCTCCAGGCTTCGGTGGTGCGCCAGCACCCTGCGCGACCAGAGTGGTCAGCTACCCAACGACCTGGCACCTGCGGCCACAGTCTCAGTGGAACGGACGTGGGGATTTCCAAGGAAGAGCGGGTCCGATCACACGCCTCTGTGCTTACAGGGGTTGTTTTCACATGTTTTCACTAAATGAAGTTTTTCTACACGGATTAAGGTGCTACATGTTCCAGACATATTGGCTTGGCGTTTCTTTGAGCCTGTTCTCAAATAGGTCCGAAAAGCCAGGCACGTCAGCAGGCAAAACAAAGACGATTTTGTATATTTTAACTACAACAGCAATTGGCTCCATGGATCTACATAAACGGATTGTTGCTAGAGCCTGATGCTGTGGCATGTATGGCGGAGTTTGTTTCTGGAAAAGGTAACACGTGCAAGACTCAGGTCATGCCAGAATATGAGTGACACATGCCAGACCCCATATGTACAACAAATCGATCATGTGACCAGCGACCCCTCGGTGGAGAAGATGCGACGGAAAAAAAGGAACGGAGGTCCGTATATAATTAGGCGACATGGCAAGTGATGAAGCTAACTGCTTATGAAATCTTATTAACACGCTTACCAGGAAAAATAGAAAACATGGTAACGCTTGTAATTTATGTTATTTTTTACGTTGTAATTTCCCACGATTTTACACGGAGAGTGAAATTTTGGTTGGGGAGAGGGCTAAAGTGCGGTAAGGGTTGCTTGGAACGTTTGTTTTTGGAGGTTTCGCTACAGTTTTGACTACATTAGTTTTCCGGCCCTATAGTTTTACGTTCTCTAGCGAAGCGAAGCCGCCAACACCCAGAAGAGCCCAACGGTCCACGTGTAGCGCTCTCCGGACGTGTCCACGCGCGTAGCCAGATCCTGAAAGAAGCCGTGCTTGCGGGTTACAAGTGGTCAATAGAACCCCACCCCACCCCATCTATGATGTAGCATCAAGTATGTGTGCAAGTGGAAGTGACGTCAAGGCCGCGAAAGCTAAAAAATATGCATAAACGCCTGGCCCACAGGCGCGGTTACCAAAAACATGCACCAAGGGCCCGTTATGTTTGATGTCCTTGTGCACAAATGAATCTAAGAATGCTGACGACATACTGAAGGTTGTTAGACGGAGTCAGACAAAGTTACACCTAACCTCAAAGTCAACCTCCAAAGCATGACCAGCACCTTACGTCACCTGACTCTTCCAGCCTTTGGCGCTATGAATCTCCTCAGGACAGCCCCAAAAAAGCAGGGAGTTCCAGGGATGAAGCGGAGCACCTTTTTCTCCGACCTGCACCGACGCACCGAGCGGGACCTGCTCCTTTGCCAAGGGCGTCGTACGGGACCTGCTCCTCACCGGTTCGGCAGGGGCACTCAGGGATGCGCGAAAGAAGCATGGGGTATCGCGGTTTTGGAGGAAAGCAGGAAACAACAATCTGTTAAGTGTTTTGGGTTCATAAGTTGTAGTAGGCGGTAGTGTTTTGTACATTGAGTTGTGCTATGGCTTCCCTACAGCTTGAGATTGTTCAGCTTCTGGCTCAAGGGGATTGAGCCATGATTCATGGCTCAATTTGGAGCACCGGAGGGCCCAGATTCACGGGCTGGAATGCATGATTCAGAGTGGGGAAACTTTTTCTGGGATTTGAAGAAGTTCCCGGCCAGTTGGGTTGGATACTCCATGATGCTCCAGATTTCGACCAAGACTCTTGAGTGAAGATCGGTGCGCGTTACAGGATGAAATACTTCTTGTGCAGTAAGAGTCTGAGGTGTGTCATCGACATGTTGTTACTCGCACAGTCTAGGATGATCAAGACAACTACCTCTTCTGCGGTAGCTGATCCTCGACTTCTGTGCGCCTTTTGGGAGGCCGCTTTGGGGGGCTTTAAGCCTTGCGTGCGAGAAGAATCGAGTGGTTGACATGACACCGTTGCTTCAGAAACCACTCGGATCCCAATTGGAGAGGTGCAGGCACCTGGCTCTCCACCTCTTGGGATCTTTTCTTCTCCTGGGCTGGGCGGGGCGGAAGCGGAGCGATCCACCAGCCACGGAGCGGCGATCCACAGGCCAGCTTTGTGCAGCTTCTTGTTAGTGGGGTTGTTGCTTTGGGCTGGAGCTGACAAGCATGTGGTAGATCCACTTGGGGGTTATAGCACCATAACAGCTTTGTTTTCCTTCAGCTCGAGAAGGCCGCTCGGAAGGTGTGCGGTGGTTGACAAGAATGGTGCAAACTTGGAAGATGGGTCATCAGTTCAACAGCTGTGATTGTGGTGGCAGAATGGGGCTACTTGGTAGTGGTGCGTTTGTTGCTCGAGGCTGGAGTTGACACACACACACACACACACAGGTGACAAATGCAGATGCGGCAACAGCTTTGGTCGTTGCAGCAGAATGGGGCGACTTGGAAGTGGTGCGGATGTTGCTGGTTGCTTGTGCAAACAAGCACGCGCCTAAGGGCGGATGAGGCAGCCATCCCGGTGTTTGTTGCAAGGAATTGCCACTGGGAAGTGGCTCTACTGTTGTGGTGAGAGACTGCGACAATTTTGCAATAGGCAATAGAAGAGAAGTAGAAAGAGAGAGAGAGAGGGAGATATGGTAGGATGGCTACAGGCTGATATCAAGCAGATTGTGCAAGTCGCTCAGTGCTGAAGCCTGGTGGAAAGGTTCGCCCGCAGTGTGAAAAGCTCAATGTATAGGCGTCAACAAGCGTGTTTTGGCTGTCTACATGTTTGGGGTATGTTTGGTGAGTTACACCTACGTAGCCTGCGTAGGGCAGTTTGTGAACAGCTGCATGACTTGGAGACGCAGATGCTTGGAGACGCAACACCCAGTCTTACAAGGGTTGCACCTGGTCCTCAGTTTCCTAAGGAGGAGCAATGCCAATGTGACTGTGGCCGATTCCCGTTTTGGCCTCAGAGCCCGCGGGTTGCTCCGACCACTCCACCACTCCCATTACTAGTTGTTTTAGAACATCGAGCAGCAATTTGGATCCATTTGGGAATTACTCAAAAATAGAGAGAGAGAGAGCAACATCCACCAAAGCAAACATATGAAACCAAACATACTTCCCCACCTTTCACCCATATTTCCATCAAATTGCTAGAAGATGCTGCGGTGCATGTTCTTCATCGGTGGACGTCGGTTTTTTGCACTGATCTAAAACTTGCAAGTTTCTTCAGGATCACACACTCGTTTTGGGAACAAGTTGCAGTACTTAACTTGCTCTAGGTTCCCTTCGTGCAGAATTCTTTCCGAGGCATGCCTGAAAGCTTGGACATGATCTCTGTTTGAGAAAGTTCACCTCCTAGCTTCCTAGCCATGACTCTTTAGTATAATAAGCTGTTTGAAGGGTCCCTGGATGTTGAGGCCTCCTAGAGCGGGAATAGGACATGTAACGCGGGTGGTGCTCCCTGCCCATGTTGGAACTCGTCTTCTTTCGCACCGTCGTTCTTCGACATCGCGTGTCTTCGGACACGTCGCCAAAAAAGTCTTTGCACAAAAAACACAAAACCAATCATGAGGCTAACAACACAAGGACAAAACTACTTCCAAACCTATGGTTGCAGTGGATTTTCCGTGGGGGATGTTGTTTGCGCAGAGAGATGGTGCAGAGAGGTTGCATGTTTGTGAACTGCGTTTTATTCGCTCGATTTTCTTCCCTTTGCTGCAGCAAGGAATTCCTTGCCATAGCTTGGCCGGGGATGTTTTGTTTCCTTGCTCAGCGTCGCTTTCTTCGCACATGTTTCTTGGAGGTTGAGGAGGTTGACACTGCTGTGTAGGGAAGAGCAGGTTCTCTACCTGCTGAGTCGCTAATGTCGACTCAGTGTGATTTGCAGAAGCGATCTGGATTTGGAGAACAGCCCAGAGCCCATGGAGAACCCTTATAGAGTTTTTTTGAGCCCTTTTTGGGAGAAAAAACGAACTGAAACACGGGGAATCCTGGCTTTGAACTGATGCCCCGGCATGCCCCGGCCCCCACGGATGGGAGCGCAAACCACCGCACTGGAGGTTCAACCCGGAGTGGACTACGGAGACATGGACGAACTGCTCCACTGTGGTGAGGCGCAGAGCTCGTTCTGTTGGCAGCAGCGGAGTGTGATGGTTTTTCGGAGTTGGACGACATGGATTCTAAATTGGGACTGTTAGGGCCACATAGGGGACTCCTTCAGGTTGTTTTTTCTCTTCTTGGGACATGGCCAAACAAGACAAGAGTTGAAGTTGGCTTCAAAGCGCGAGATGTGCTTGAAGACCTTTCCAGTGTATGCATCATGCAGCTGCAGTAGTTGATATAACCAAGGTTTACCACATCATTGGGTTTGTACCGCTCCATCCATTTTCAGGTCCCTGTATCACTCAGATGATCCCTAAACCTTGAAGAAACAAGATGGTGGCCTTTTCGGCTTCTTCCATTTACGAGCATGCACCGGCAGCCTCGAACTTCGAAGAAGGTCCCGGCGTTGAAACATCAACCTGGTACCTTCAGTCCCATGTCTTTCAATTCGTTTGCGTTCCTTTTGACGACCGAGACCGAAAAAAAGAAAGCCATGTGAGGTGCCGCTCGGGTGGCAGCGGTGTGGCTTTGAGCTGCGAGCGTGCGAGGTGCGAGCACCCCAGGGGAAATCGGTGGAGCGAGAGGCAGGGGTTGATCAGAGTCAGCTACGGATGGTGGAAGTTCCTCGAAGTTGGAAGTATTTGGAAGTTGCTGTTTGAGGTCAAAGACCGTCCTTTTTCCACTAGAGATATTTGAGGAAGATAACTTATCTTGTGGAGATTCAGCCAACCTCAAATGCATGACTGAGTATAATCACACAGCATGCAAAAACATCATCTAATAGTGATGATTGACGTGTCATTCTGTGATGATGTGGGTTTGATGTTTATATGATCAAGTCATTTTGTCCGCTGCTCATATCTAATCTCTACCAAGGCCTCAACAAATCACAGCTACCTTCGAAGCTCGCCCTTCTCTCTCCGTCCCGTCGAGGTCGGTGCCGCTGACCTCGCCTGGCACAGGGCAATGGTCAGAGGTGGAGCTCTACTGCAGGCGGGGCGGACGTGGAGCCGCTCTCGGCCAAGGTCCTGGTCGGCCACGACGCGGACAAAACCCTCCACTAAAGACCTGTTGAAGGGATGAAGGTGCCAAGAGAGGATGGGTCGGTGCCTATCAGAGGAAGACCTCCATTGGGTGGATCTCACTTCATGCCATGACCCTACTGTGCCGATCATCCGTGACGGTCATGGTGTTCGCCTTATTTCTGCGATGCAGACGATGAACTCCCTCAAGTATCTACCTGGAAGGTTAACCATGACCTGGTGACCTGGGTCCGAAATAGACTTGATCAACAGTCAGCATTCAGAGAGCTGCGCACAGCAGCCGCGCGGCGCAGCTAAGCTGCAACCCCGGCAGCTGCAGAACTTGGACTCGTTGAAAACACCACGGATCACTGCGCGCTTCAGGACCGTGAGTGGAGCTGAGACCGACCGGAGATCAGCCTGGGCGCTGAGTGAGAAGTGGAGAAGCGATCGGGGGAGTGAGTTCGAAGGTGTTGACAACATGGATTCGTCCGAGTCATACCAGCACCAGCTAGTTTGGGTGGTGATTGAATGGAACATGCATCGTATACGGAGTGTCGACTAAACCCCCGAACTCCGTGGTGCTGCTGGGGACATCCAAAGGCCAGGGAACCCGCATGAGCAATCATGTAGTCCCTGGCAATTGACGTCCGCAAGGGCAATCATCCAGAAGAGATCTTCCTGCACGAGGACTATGTCTCAACCAGGTTCTGTTTCACTATACCAACGCGGATGCCTTGTAGTTGGCCCGTGTTCCAACATGTGAAGGGACTGATGTCGTTCCGTTTGAACGACCTCGCTTGACCAGGGAACCTTCCATGAGACCGTTCAAGCTGATGGCAGTGGGTTTGTGTGACCCGCCGCGACTGACACCATGATTGATTGACTTATATTTAGTCACGTCATGACCCTATCCCATCAAAATTCCATTGATCCACTCTTTTTCGCCCACCCAAGGCCTTGTGGCTGCTCGTGATGCTGGCCACGCAACATTTGGGTGCTTTGTCATTGGGATGTGTGTGTTGTTTTTGTTTATGTTTCTTGGTTCTGTTCTGCCGCAGTACATTCACCGCTGTTCAGATGAAGCTACTTGTACAACTAACAGCTTGTGAGTGATTGCCTCGGCGTACTAACACATGTTTGTTTCTCAAATCACCTATGTTCTTGTGCCAGCGCGAAGGCAGGCCACTTGGGGTCGCCATTCAGAATCATGCCTACTTCTAGGCAGGTTTGAGTTCAAGGCGCCACCAGGGAAAGATTGGAATGTTGAAAACCTCAACCCCCTGACGGAACGAACTGCCCAGACGGACCTCACCCAACGAGAGACTTGAGGTTTTTAGACCGTGTGTTCGGCGAACTTCGAGTCGTGAAGACGCGACGGACTGAGGTGACTTCTGAGGGTGGTTTCACCATGCGAAAGGTTGATGTGCAGAGAAGAGTTGATGTGCATGCAGCACAACAAAGAAAGACATCATGCTTTTGGGTTGGTTGCCCAGGTGGGACAAACTCTACGCCCAGCTACCAGTGTTACTGGTGCAGGTTGCTACTGACCATTACTATTACTGTTGCCTTGGAGTTGTTGTTTTTTTGTTTTCTTTTTCAGAACCGCTTAATCACATGATTCCAACTTCCAACTGTATCAACTGCTTTCCGTAGAGTTGGTCTCCTAAAACGCGTGAAGAAGTTTCACCGGCCTCCCCCCCAAACTGGGGACACTGGGCCACCGAATCACTCCGCGGTCGCGGCGCCAAGAAGCTCCAGACGCCAAGAAGCCGAGCAGAAGCCGATCCGATGGGAAGGGTTCGTTTGAGAGGTATGTGGAGCGAATCCGCCGCTCCGGACTTGGGTGCTTCTTGGGACTGCCAGTTTCTGAGCAGAGCAGGGAATCCGGATTGGAGAAGCAAGTGGGGAACCTGGCACTCTTGTGTCAATTCAGCCAGTAAGACCCAATAGACCCGGGGATGGACACGAGGTCAGCACATTGACCTACTATAATGATGGCGCTCATATAGACTGCATCTAGCCCCAAATGATTCTATCTAAAACATTTCACTGTATCTCGAATCTAAGATGTATCAAGAGCTTGATCTGACAGTTCACCTGGGAGTTCCTGGCAGTTGGGAGATCGACGTCTCAACCTTTTGAGGCTCCTTCAGAGAGAGCCCTCCTTCGAATGCCCGCAGCGAGCCCTCCAGCGTGCCAGGTTGCTGTAAGCCCATCCACCGAGAAGACTGCCTGTGGTCTTCCAGTGCTGGAAGCGATCCCCAGAGGGGCAGAGAGAGAGAGAGAGACAGATGTCTCTGGGGGTGCAGATTGCATCAAGGTTTTCACTTAACACGTGGCAACACGTGGCTTTGTTTGAAAAGGCTCCTAGTCGGCATAAGTCGGCAAGTCTCAAGGTGGGAGGGTTTGTTAAGACTCAAGACCCAACCAGTACGGTTACGCACAAAAAGCTGTCGCTGAGCATGCTTAGCACCCGGAACCTTCCAGCGCACGTACTCCTCGAAATGGCTGCGGCTACAGTACTGCAAACCGGAGACAGGTGACCTGCGAGAGGAGGTCAAGCGCCATAGGCCATGGATTTGAGCTATGGCCAAAAGCACACGCGGCTTTGACGGCATGGAAGCACCGCATGAAAATACCGCGTCCTCGAGAAAAAAAACATGCACTTTGAGTGGAAGCCTCGTATGCACCGTATACCGTGCGCCCCCCAAGTACCGGTGGTTTCGGGCATTGCAGCCCGATGCAGCCCGAGACGCAGCTTGGCTGTGGATCAATACCCGCAGCTTCAAGCATTTGAGTCTCCTTTTGGATGGGTCGAAAACCACTGCCATTTCTCCCGGTGCCTTGATCCAGCTCCAGCCATTTTCTTCGAGCTGCGCCCGAGGAGCTCCACCTTGGACCGTCCAGCGTCGTGCGCCGGGAGGACCCAGGTATTGTACCCTGGGGAGTGACCAAGGTACAGAAAAAAGAACGGTGTTTTCTGGTTCCATCATGAATCCGTGTTGTAAGACTATCATTTTTGGGTGTGTGTGTGCTTCATGTTCTGACTCTGGGTGGGCTTTATCATGCTGCTCCTCACCAAGGCCAGACCAATGCTGTTTTGAGAGCTTTGGCTCGGCAGCCCAGGAACGTTTGGTCGTTATTGATCGGCATCGTTTGTAATTACTCTCCCTGAAACTAACATGGAAGTGGGAAACCCGGAAAAAGAAAACACCTCTCTTTGTAGAGGAACATGGTCTTCCAAGCGACCATTCACCACTTCTATTTCAGTTCCAGAGAGTGTATGTTGTTTTTCCTCCAGGTTCCAGGTAAACGAGATGTGATCCAGATGTGTCCAATTGGGGGCCTTCGAGAGAAGGATGGGACATATCTCGAAGAAACAAAGTGGAACTGTGGAACGCATCAAGTTCTTATGTCACTTGGACTGCATTTGATTGTGCCATCCGTTTGCCTTATATACATTCAAGAGTTGGTCACTAGGACTCCAGTGAAAGCCAGGCGGGTACTGGCTTTTCATGGCTTTTCCATGCTTTTCCTTCAGGTTTGGAGAGGTCAGTGGTTGGCGATCCCTGTGCTTTTCCTCGGTTTTACAACATGGTCAGCTCAACAACGAATCCAAGAAACGCTCATGACCAATGAAACTCCGGAGTCGGAGGGTGAAGACGGATGTGTGGAAGCAACCAACAGTTTTCCCCAACCCCCATGCTGTTGACCTTCTCCACCTTTCTTCGCAGTATGTCAGCGGGTTGGAAGAGATTGTCTAGCGCTTCTATGCAGGGACTTTTGGACATTTTTGCGGCTGATTGGGGGGTAGGCATGGGGGCACATTGTCCACTTGGATGTTTGAAGTTTGACGGCCCAAAAGATGCTTGTCGGATCTTGTCGGTCTCAAATCAAGGATCCGCAGTGGTCCGCGAAAATGGGTGGTGGCTTCAGATATATTTATGCTCAACCTTTACTTGGGAATCTATCCCACTGACTAACATGTGTCAAGTGAGTTGAAACCACAGACCAGAATATGAACTGCAAGACAATGTAACAATATACAATATCTTACAATATATTAATTCTGTGTAAATGCAAATATGTGCATGCACAACATATTTTGCGAAAATCAACAGTAGGGTATACTCTTAGGGGCTCAGCCCCTCGATGCCAGGCCAAGATGTATGAGGATTCTGGATGGGGAGCCCAGTGAGACTGCTCGGCGTACGGCGGGCTTGCTCCTTGGCGAGTGAGGAGTGTGCTGAATCAGGTCATCCAGGGTGGTAGCACGAATTATGAATTGATTAGTGCCTGTACAACCTTTATAGGTTAAGTCGTTTGGTGCGTTTCCATGTGGGTTCGGGTTAGATTCTAGAGAAAGATAAGCTTTGGAGTATCAGTAGTGCTCAGTTCTTTTTTGGAGGGAACTTTCCGCAAGCCCGGTTGGCTTAGAACCCGGGGCGCGTGTATGGCTTGATTTTATTTTTTCCAGATTTGCATGACTCTCAACAAAATCTTGGAGAAGCAATTTGTGGCAGGTGACGCTACCCTGCACTATAGACTGGGATAGGATAGGGCCTTGGGCCTTGTGGCTCTAGTTTAAGATGGTTTCGTCCTTCTTGCCATCTTCGAACCCCGAATAGATTGAAATAGATCCTGCATGCCACGACATGTCCTTCTGATTTATTCTGGTTGAGGGTCCGATGTAGTGGATATATAACCTCCACCTCATTTCTCAATCCTTGTCTTCAATTCAATCATGGCTTATTTCATTGAGAGATTGATATCCTAGCTGCTTGCCTGAGGGGTGCCAGATGGTGCCAGTCATTTGGGATGAAAGCAAGGCTTAGGCACCTTCCCACACCACTCATCCACTGGGCGGGAACCTTCACCTCTTGCACCAAAACTTTCACCCACCGGCGTCGCGGTACCGCGCGGGTTCACCGCACGCCGCGCGGCCTCCATCTCCAGACCTCATGGGAAGCAACTTCTTCGAGTCGGGTCCGGGCGCCGTGGGGCCGTTGGATTGGGGAGGGAGGAGTCTAGAGCATGTTCGACAGTCCGGGACACTTTAGTGGATTGAGTTGAACATGTTCGGGTCATGTGACTAGCCAGACTTCTATATAAGTATATTTACTTGGTGTTTGTTCCAGTTGTGCACCAAAAGCAGCAAGTTCCTGGTCTTCCAAATTCAACATATATCAACGGGATGTTGCAAGACTTGTCCTCATTTTGTGCAGGGGGGGTGCCCCAAAAGTGGATGCCATGTCTCTCTATGTGAGTAAGCCACCCTTCAGCCCAGTCATTGGTCCACCAGCGGCCCGTTACAAGGCGACCTCGACTTGCTCAAACGCCTCATAGGGTCCCTCAAAACCACGTCTTTGAGAGGAGAAACGCCAACCAAGCCATGCTGGGCTAGGCCAACACACCCCGCGGGCCGCTAGGTCAAGTGGATAGCTGGTTGGATTGGACCTCGTGTGGGCCCTCGGTGCTGACGGCCGTTTGGGTATCCGCGATGGTGTGAACACCCTCCAGTGGCGGTGTGCTTCGCCGGACGCGCCTGGGAGGCGGGCGGAGGGCAGGGGATCACATGTATACAGCTTTGGTAAGCCAGTATACCTGGGACGAAGGGGGTTGGGTGGAGCCACACGGATCCACATTGAGAATTTAACGAGTTGGTCATCTGAAGAACCCCCCCAAAAAAACATGCGTGAAAATAGAGAACTGCCCTTCAAGTCGTGAGCGTGACGTTTCCTTGATGTGTTCTAGCCCTCCAGAGATGGATAGAGGATAGAGATTCTATATCACCAATTTCTGTTGGGCTGTTCTGTCTGTAAGCGCCCGCGACACTATCATCATGTATACTGCCCAAGTGGGTTTTCTGAAGGATGAATGAAGTCGACGTCCTCACTCAGGATGGAGGTGGATCATTTGCTTCTGGAAACGGAGGTTGGGGCTGCCGGGGTTGGTGGAGAGCATGGAGAAGTGGGGCTGAAAAGCTTGGGGCTGAGGATGTGAGACTTGAGATGTTCGGCCACGGCCTTCCGGGTGTTCTTGCGGTGCCGTTTCTGGGCGCCTCACGCACTGCGGTGCTTGGCAGTGATGTTGAGCGAGAAAAATAGGGACTTTTTGCCAAGCCGAACAGCACCTCGTGATGAATCTTCAGGATTGGAGGAAGTAGGAGCGAAGGTCGATATGGGTCGATTCTTCTGAAATGCATCATACATCAGCAAATGCTGTATTTTACATGATCTGCCAGTGCAGTCCGTGAGCTCGACGCCAGGATATCTCCAGCCTTTTGCAGGTTCTAGAGGACTGGAAGCGACGAGCGGCTGGTCGTGGCGGGGGGGCTGTCAAACTGGGCCGTTTGCACGCGCATGGTGTTTTTTGGAGGCAAACGGCCGTTTCCGTTCCCAAAGCCCGGCCAAACACCACCAGGTGTTCCACCTCTCTTTTCGATCCGACGAACACATGGAAGGAAAGGACCAAAGGTTGTGTTCCCAGGGGCCTCCACTTCGTGATGGTGATGAGTCCGTCAGAGGTGTCCGTGTCCTGTTCTCACGAATGATTCTTCCCATGTCTTCCCGGTTCAGCCCACGTCACCGTTACCTGCAGGACATGTGTTGCAAGACTTTGAAGGGTGAACTTGGTATCATTTGCAGTTGATCAGGGCCAAAGAAGAAAAGTTCTGCAGCAAGAACCCTCCCAATGTTCCCCTTCCTTGGGCCTTTGTTTTGGCCCCTCGAGGGGTAGATCTCTTCCAAAGGTCGACCGTTCTTTTCTTCATCGAGGCTTCAACCACCAGCCGGACATCATCATCCCAACCTGGCGCCCGGGTGGGCCCTGTGCCGATGCCTCGCCCCTCCCCCCACGCAGCCCCGCCCAGGAGCACCTCAAGAGCCGCACCTTTCTCGTGGGCCCGGGATGCCTGACCTTCACGACATGGAAACCCGGAAGACCACGAAACGGACACCGTGTGGCGCCCACAAGCGGTGTCCGTGCTTGTTTCTGGGCTTTCTCTTTGCATCTAACCCGGGTGATGTGGGGGAATTGGTATCAAAATAACATGTATATAGCAGTTTATGTGGCAGATCCCCTGGTGGTGGTGATATTTGCTTATGCTTGGTAAGCCTGACAAGCCTTCAGCTTGAGCAGGGGTCAGTTTTCAGGGGGAAGAACCCGGAAAAACGCTCAGATGCAGATGAATCCATGGATTTCATCAACTCGGCGGGGTTCGTGGGGAAATGACTCGACCTGGACGCTCCAACAGACGATTCGCCTGACTTGTAGACCGAAAGCATGTCGCCAAACTTTGGCGAAGATTCATCCAAATGGTTGAGATGCATCAATTGATTGTGTGATATTGCCTAATTCATTCCCAAGTGTTCTTGGAGTTGACAGGTGAGACAGTTGAAAGAAAGGCACTGATTCTACAGGATCGTTTTGTTCTTTATGGACCTCCGAGTCGTTCTTGCCATGCATGGCATGATGAGATAGCAGGTCATCTATAAGAAGAGTCCGGAAGGCTTGATCTTCATCTCTCTCTCTCTCTCTCCCTTTGTTTGCCATTGGTTGAAGAGGTGTCGCCTCTCGTGCATGATTTTGCCTTGCATGTTGAGAACCATGAGATCCAGATCAAGATCTCGAAAGCTAGCAGCTTCCAACGACCACTGGCCAGGAAAACCATTTCACTGGTTTTTGGCCCAACAGATCTAATGCAAACCTCGCCCACCGGCTTGGCTGCCTTACGCGAATCCGCGCGGCGCGCGTGGGCGACACATCGTGGCTCAAGTGTGCTGAGCTCGACCGAAGTGCTCCGGTGTTTTCACAAGGCGGGGAAAGCGGTGAAGGAGGCGGCACAGTGTTCATGGCCGGAGCACGTGTTCTTGAGGTGTTGGTGAACATTGGACCCACATGTTTCTGTTCTTTTCTCCGTTGCTGGGATGAATATACTTCTCCGTGTGTTTCAGTCAGCTTTTCCCTCTTCAGAACACTTGATTGGTTTTAGACGTGCCAACATCGGCGTAGGTTCTTCGCAGCGTAACCTGCGCGAACTCTGCAGGCTTGAACTTCCAACAGCGTCGGTGATTCAACAGACTGACAGTCAGTCTGTTGAATCTGACACATAAAGACTTTTGGTAGGCTTATGTAGTCCAAAGGCCTGCTTTCTTCGTCTCGTGCGTGTGTGTGAGCGTCAGAAAATCGCACCCTGGTGGCACCATCTAATCATTATATGACTTGGGTCTGTCCCATTACCTGTAACGGTCGGTAAACAAGAACATCTCTATTTTTGAACAAGGCTGCACCTGGCCCCACTGGGCCCAGATAGACTCGGATAGACCCAATAGATGACAGACTTGGATACACATTTTGGAGTCGAAAGAGTCGAAAAAGCTAGATCAACCGGGACCCAAGTATATATTTCCTTAAGACCTTGTACATCCTTGTACCCATACGTTCGAACTCCACATGTCCTTTCCTGAATTCGTCACCTCGTTGTTTGACTCAGACCCGGTTCCACTGCACCCAGCGGCAGTCTGAACACCGGCCCCCGGCCAGGGTGACAGAGATGGCCTACATGTACATGGACCATGGGGAGTCGACTCTTCGCCTTGCAGGGTCGACTTTTCGGTCGGTTTCGGTCGGTCGAACGGCTGATGAACTCGTCTCAGACGGAGGGTGGGTGGGTCGGGTCAGGAGGTGCTGTTCGCTGGTTGGGCAAGTGGTGCACATGGCAGTTGATTGTGCCATAGATAAGCGAAACTTTCACATGTTGATGCAACTATACTGTACTTGCAGTGTGCGCATTCAAAGCAACATTTATCAGTGTTTGTTGACCCTTTCAGAGCAATGTCAGGGCATAAGATGACAAGATGATGGCAGGAATATGTTACTCCAAATTTCAATTAATTTGTCATATCATTGAATCATAACTCTGACGAACACAACCATTGAACACTGTTTGTTGGTTTCCCACATATAGTTGTTTCTTTCAGCTTCACCCCTTTCTTTCTCAGACGATAGGCCCAAACCGAGCTCCCGGGCCGATGTTGTTGTTCCGAACCCTTCATCGCGGGGCGCTGCAGCCGCGTCGCGACGGAGGATCTACCGCATCTTGCCCCCCAAGCCGGAGATTGTCCCCAGGAGCGAGCCGGGAAGGAGGAAGGAGAGAGCCGGACGGCACCAGACTCTGCGGGTGCTTGTTTCTGCAGCAAAGAATGGTGGTGAGGATAGGCTTTGTCCTGGAACAGGACCTCCAAGAATGCTCTATACCCACCTGCACCCTCCAAAGGTGTTCCTTTTCAATGTTTCTTTCCGAAACCAAAAAAAATTGGTTTATCTTATATTTCTGGTTTCTTTCGGAAACACATTTTTTAAGGAAGGCCACCAGGTGGATTTCATGCTCCTTCATGCCCAAGTCACTTGATTTGTAGAGTGTGTTGGTTCCTATTAAGGTATTCTGTGCTTGGCTGACACCCTGATGGTCATTGACTATTCATGTTGCTATCTCACCCAATCACAACAAACCAATCTCATGGAAAACTATGGAAAACTCTTCATCACCACAGACCAATCCTACAGAACCGCCGCGAAAACCATCACTCCCACCAGTCCCAGCCCCAAGCAGAATTTCTCCTTCCTCTTGGTGGGTCCTTCAGCACACGCCTTGCGGGCAACAACGAGATATTTAAATATCACGGTCCTTGCAACACTTGAAGGGTGAGAGGTCCGTGCAATTCTGCTCGTCACCCCCACAAAATCTTCCATCATCGGGGTCGCAAACACCCCAGGATTGAATGTAACTTTTGCATCTGACTGCAAAAACTTGAACAGGTCAAAAGCAAAGTGAGCTGCAAAGTGCAGCTTTGGTGTGGCCATAAACAACGTCCATCCATGATTGAAGCTCCAGTTTGTCAGGGCTTTGTAGCAGCAAAGGAAAGTCATGATGTGTTCAAAGGCCAGTTGAGCCTCATCACGTGTAAACCACACTCGACTGCTGGAAGTGTAGCACAGCCGGTTGAAGGCATCAAAGGCAACTGCGGTTCGAAAGCAGAGGTCCAGGGGCTCAGTGCGTCTAAACGGTCTTTGAAGGTAGTCGACAAGCCATTGGACTAACAGCGTGCAGTCACTTGCCTTGCAAGTGAGATCAGGAAACTTGTTGTTGCTCTCCCAATGCAGATTCTCCTTTGTAAATTCCTTGACGTCCCTTGCTTGCTGCCCAACCGCACGGCAATAGGCCGAGAAGTCATCGTAGGCCGCCTCAAGGACACTATCTTTGTCACGGCGATGATGCCCTGATGACTTGAAGTGCCCTAGTGGCCCAGCAAGCATGCATATGGCAGAAGCTGCGAAGTTTCTGCCAACACCGTGTGGCAGGGTGTGCATGAGGTCAATCTTCATGAACTCATGTGCCATGGATCCTGGCACCTGCCAGAGGGGTGGTTGCCCTTGAAATGGAGGAGACTGGCCAACTGTCTGAGTCCACATTGCATTCATCGAGACATCTTCGAACGGTATCTCTGCACCAATGTTTGCAAGGCAAAGAGGACAAATGTATTTCCGTGTGTGGTGTCTCAAGCACTTCATGGACTTTACATGCCATGGATGGTCACCACAAAGAGCTATGCAGACCAAGTAGATCCGTTCAACACCACACACAGCATCCTTAGGCAATTCAACCCCCTGGAAGTACGCACGCATCAAACTCTTCCCAACAGCATCCAGCAATTTCTCAATCACAGGGTTTCCAGCTTCAATGCCTTTGTTGTACTGGCTGTAAAGCTTTGCTGGACAAGAGGTGATCAGGTACAATCTCTTGAGAGATGCCTGTCCAGCCCCAAGCACTGGCCCCCAGGAGATTTGAAGAACTGGCTTTCTTCGGTGGCCAACCCCCTCATCTCCATGCATGAGAATAGGAATTGTAAGGTGAAGCTCAGATGCGTGGTCTTCAAAAACTGGATGACTTGGCTGCACCGACCGAAAATTTTCCCAAAAATCCGTCATGGTGGAAGTCCACTCACGTACATTCTCTAAATTCTCACCAGCCAGCAAAAAGTTCGAGAACCTGGACGAGGTGAGAAGCCATCGAGCAAAGGCTGTCACATCCAGCATTGGATGGCTCTTCCAGGAACCACTCCCAGCTTCGTGTACCTGAGCAAGGAAAGATAAGGCAGGTGAGGTGGAAGGACTGCAATAACATGCAAATAACAACCATTGACAGTTGACACAATTTCAATTATATAAACAAACTTCACCTGGTCCTTTGGGAACAAAGACAGACGTATCAAATTCACAAAGACGGACGTCTCAAAAAATATCAAAAGAGTGTTCCAATGAAAAGACCAGGAACCTTTTCAATCTGAGAAACTGGAATGTTTGGCATAAACCCTCTCTTCCCAAGCAGCCGCTGCATATCACGAAGCTTGTTGCCTGGTCGAGCACCATCGATGCGGCCAAAGTCCTGCAGCATCAATTTGTCCCTGGGACATTCCCGCCATGAAGCCAAAGATGCGCTCGATCTTGCCGATTTGCAAGCTTTTGTTGCAGAATTGGCCTGAGAAGTGTCATCAGACAATCTCACAGAGCATGCATTCAATCAGCAATCTATCTAGAGGGACACCATATCCCAAAACAAGCAACTGCTGCATTAATCAAAACCTCCGGCCAGTGACAACATATGTGTCCAGCACGTCCTGCATGGATTCCAGAGGGTCCTCATCTGTACCTGTGTGGTCATGCGAACGACGAAATAAAGGCGGTATACACACAGTATTCCCTCTGCCGCTATGACCAACCAAGATGTGCACTTGAGACCTCCTTCGAGAAGGACGAATTTGTATTCAACCAATCATCTCCCAAAGTGTTTTCAGCCTCATCGCGTTTGAGTGTTTGGATTGTCACACTGCATCTGAGGCTA